CCTTGAGATGAGTTATCGTGAAACTCCTAGGTTTTGATGGTAGATTCTTGCTTAGGATACATAATCACATGTTAAAATCACTTTAAAAATATGGAGTATGCTTATCTTGATTTGAAAGGAAGAACTCTTGATGAAATTGCTCAAAAATCAAGTTTGAACCCTAGAATTGAGTTCTTGTTAGCACTAGAGATAAGAAGAGGATTTGATGTTTGAATCTTGTAGAAATTTTAGGATTTATGTTATAAAATCATGAAGAATACTTACCAAGACTTAGTAGGATTGAACATAGCTCTTGAAAGTTGTTGAGGTTGATGAAGGAGTTAAAAATGAGAAAAAGAAACTTAAAATAACGTTTTTTTTTTATGAAATATGAAAAAATGATATATGCATGATATATGGTGATATATGGTATATGTGCATTCTAAGACCCGTGGAATGGTTCGTGGAACTCAGGTGAAAATTTTAAGTCTTTGATTTAATTTTATGAGCATAATCTAAGGCCCATAGATGCTTTCACGATCGGTAGGTTCGATTCGTAAAACTCAGATCCTAAAATCTGAATATCGCGGGAAAATTGATCATAACGTTTTACTCTGGATTCAGATTAACAAACGATTCGTGGCGTTGAAAATAAGTCTCATAAACCTTTAATTTGATAGGTAATGAGACAACTAACTCTTCATATTCTGAGAGATATGGTCGTTTGAAGTTGATCATTGCATGAACTCATGCTAAAAACTCATGACCCTAAACCATATCCATTAGAAGTTCCTTATGACCCTAAATCATATTTGATACACTTACTATACTTGAAAATAGACCTTAACACAGATGAACAAGTAGGACATCACCGGGTTCAAGATGATACGCTTATGACGAAAGGTTCAGACCTTTAGCATTGAATTTGTAAGGTGTTGCACAAATAAAATCTATCAAAACTACCCCATTTTTAATACAATCTTAGCAAATAAGCAAAAGTTCATAATAAGGGTATAGTACACTATCAAAAAACTATTCTTAAAAAAAAGTATTATTATTGATCGAACCTTAATTTGATAGATAATCGAAATTGAACATAAGTTGTATACTACTCCTTAATGTAATCCTCTCATTAACATAGTACAAAGTTGATTTAAATTGAAATAAATGATGATATATAAAAGAAATCTTTCTTAAGAAGAAAGTAAAAACGTCGCCTGAGAGATTCGAACTCTCGCGGGGAAACCCCATGTACTTAGCAGGCACACGCCTTAACCACTCGGCCAAAGCGACGCTTGTTTAGCAAAGCATATAGTTTATATATAACTCCTAATATATTCCAGGTAAATCCCCTGGATTTCATATTGCTTGCCAGCAGTAAACTTCACCATTTTTGCTTCCTTCGATCCCAAGCTTTTATCGATCAACAGAAGAAATCTGGACGGATATTTGCGATTTTTAAGTGTAATCAGAAGCTTGAAGAATGGCAACTGTAAAAGCAGTGATGGGGAATTTGACGGTGGCAGAACGACAAGTACTCACGGCAGTGAACAGCGGAGCATCAAGTCTCTCATTCGTCGGTTCAGGATTTATAGTACTCTGTTATTTGCTTTTCAAAGAGCTTCGCAAGTTCTCCTTCAAACTTGTCTTCTACCTCGCTTTATCTGTGAGTAAAATTACTTTCACTTTTTCACTACTTATTAGGGTTTTGTTTTATATATGTTCATTAGCTCTTGCTCAAAATGTAGGTATATTTTGAGAAACTTGGTTTACGTTTTTTGGCCAGAAAATGTATGTAGATCACTGAGCTAGGATGTTTGGGAAGGAAATACTGAGTTCTAAAAACGAACAATGTAAACATGTATATATTCAAAATACTTATTGCATTTTCAATTAAGCGAGTAAATTTATCCTGTATCTAATGATGCAAAATATGGAAAATCTTCATGGAAGATGAAAAAAATGTATTTGGAGGTATATAAAAAGAAAAGAAGAAGAAAACTTAAGAGAGAAGAAAGAATATGGAAGAAGTTGATATCCATGTGGATTGTGGGTTGTCTGATTGATACACATTTCTCACAGTCTGTCGTCCCACAGTGGGTAATTCTATCATTGGATCAAATGTATGTTGCTGACTTGCTACTATAGGATGAGAAGTTGAACTAGTGCTAGTAGCTCTGATGGAAATGATGTTCACTCTATCTTTTACTAAGATTATAACTCTAAACAAGCAGTTGTTCCATCTGCTAGGGCTTCTCAAAGCTTTGATACCTAGGGATCTTTTTATTTGGCAAGTAATGCGAAAATTAGTTATAACTTAAAAAAGAAGAAAAAGATAAATACATACTTTGAAAAGTTAAAAGAAGATGAAAGAACAAGAAAAAAGTTGGTATGCATATTGGTTATTAGGATTTGTTATTGTGATTTTGACTGCACCTTGCTAGATTCTCGTGTTCTCTCCCACAGTGATATGATTCAATCTGATCTCAGTTTTGATTTTTGGATCAAATGGATGTAGCTTCGGCATGATCTAGAACTTGAATTTGTGTGCTAGTAGCTTTAATGGAAAAGAAGTTGACTCTATGTTTCAAATTTGTTACTTCAACAGCTTAAGATTAATCAATCAATTATCTCATATCCTTGGATAGAGTAGTATATCTCTGAGCATTTTATTGGGTAAGATACCTGATTGGAGTTTGCTAAATTTACTCCGCTTTAAGTTTATTTGTTCCTTCTTTGTTAATTATTTGAAAGGAGATTGTTGTGGTGCTTACTCAAACCAAATGACTAATGGGAAGTACTCAATCAATAGAATAGAAGAATAGGAAGAAAAATACATCTAGTATAATTGCATAGGTGGTAATCATAATGGTATGTGCCTATCAAGAACATTGATTGCTAAGATGCTTCCTTTTTATATTATGGCTTGTAATCTTTCATACATAGGCTTTGCTATAATGTTTTATCTTTCTATGGATTAAGTTCCTCACATTTCCTGCCTTCTTCTAATTCATTTGCTTCGGCTTTAAGATAATAGTAATAAGTACGTCATTTTGAGCGCAGGACATGTGCTGCAGTTTCTTCAGCATAATTGGGTATGGTCACTCCCATCTACAAGCATTTGTTGCAGGCTTCCAGTGAATTTTCTTTTTAAATGGTTCCGTAGCATTTATTAACTGTGAGTTCTTTTTTTGGTCATGTAGGGATCCTTCCAAAGGGTTCTTCTGTTATGCTCAGGGATATACAACACATTTCTTCTGCCTAGCGTCTTTTTTGTGGACAACAACAATTGCCTTTACTCTTCACCGAACAGTTGTTAGACATAAGACGGATGTTGAAGATTTGGAGCCAATGTTTCATTTATATGTTTGGGGTATCTTTTTATTAGAGAAAACAAATTGGATTCTATAGTTGGTTACTGTGGTTCCTTTCTCTCTTTCTGAATGCATTTGTTTTGGTTGGCAGCTTCTTGAAGGTTTTTTTCTTTCTTCATTCTGTTTATATGTGGATGCTTCTTGCAGGAACTTCAGGAGTAATGACAGTTATAAGATCAATTGCCAATAATCATGAACATCTAAGTCGGCTGGGCACTTGGTGTTGGGCACAAACAGGACACACAGGAAAGGCAAGTATTTAATGATCATAGTTTCAAGCTCTTTTACTATGTAATTTTTCATGGTAATTTCTGTTGTTTGTCATCTATGTAGTTTGAATAACTTCAAAAATGGTGATAGTGTTCTACTGTTACATTCTCCAAAAAATTGTGAAAGTTTTGAAATACTGAAGTATATGGATATAGGAGTTCTTTCATTTTCATGAATAAAGTCGATGTGTCAAATGAATGCACAGTGTAATTGGTTGTTGATTGGCGAAGGAGTTCTTACATTTTATCTCTTATTTTAGTTCTTTTCCTTTGAAGGAGAAAAGGAGAAGAGACTATTATGATTTTGGTAAAATGGTCCTGACAAGCTTGAAACACACTATAAAATGAAGTTCGTAATGTGTCAAAAATAGTATAAAAATTATCGTATCCCTAGGGGTTGGTTCAAACAATATTCAATTGGCTTAACACTATCAGGAGCATTAATTCTTTAGACTGAGATGGTTCTAAACCACAAGTAACTGTCTAGAATTGTAAAAATTGATCATGGAAATGTTGAGAGTTGAGCAATAGCAATTAACTGTCAATGAGAAAAGTAAGGGCAATTAACAAGACATGTGCAAGATAGTTATTTGGGATCTAACTTTGTTCAAGATTCATTTCTAAGGTTTTATTGATTCTCATGTATTCAACGGTTGATTAGATTATTCTTGTAGCTAAGATTCTTCTTTTGTATGAACTTAATCCTTGTGGGTTAAATTAATGGAAAGCCTGTGAACATATGCAAGAAAACACTAGTGATTTTAGCCTCAAGGAAAACCTCTCATGAATTTTTTCCTATGTTGGTTCAATCAACAATTTAAGAGGCTCTTTTGATTACGTAGAAAAAAAAAAAAAGGGGCAGTACGGTGCACTAAAGCTCTCGCTATGCACACGGTCCGGGAAGGGCCCATCAATATAATGCATAGATATTTACTAAAATATTCCTCTTTCGATTAAATAAATAATGAATAACTTCATAATTCGATTCAAAACTTCATTAACGAATTCAAGCAATTAAACAAGAGTCCAATCCACAAATAACATTCAAAATACCAGGTATATTAAAATCCTAAGGGAAACTACTCTATAGATGAAAAGAAAGATATTCTCTTAAAAGGCATGAATATTCCGTGATCAGATTCAAAACTCCATTAACGAATTCAAGCAATTAAACAAGAGTCCAATCCACAGATAACATTCAAAACAACGTGTATGGTTAAACCCCAAGGGAAAACTACTTCATAGATGAAAAGAAAGATATTATCTTAAAGGCATGAAAACGAGAAAATATTACAACCAACTTTCAACGCAAACTTGTGAATAATCAATTGTTGATGAAAAAAGAAACGAATCATTGTGCTTCCTAGACTTAGCCGCTCTCTCAATCCCCCGTCAGTCCGAAAGACCATTTTAAATTGTGTTTTTGATGTTTTTATACCGTGTACTGGCGGCCAACCCTGGACCAAAATACCCTTTATGAGGCGAAGTGGAAAAACAACAACATACGCAGTGTTATCTCATAAGTGGTTTATGAGGAGGGTAGAAACGAAAATGAAAGCAGTAAAAACAATGAAAAGCGCTCTGGGAAACTGTTAGAATATGAATAGGTTTATACAATCCTATTAGAATAGAAATAGGTTTATACAATCCTATAAGAATAGGAATAAGTTTATACAATCCTATTAGAATAGGAATAGGAATAGAAATAGAAATAGGAATACTAAATAGTATCCTACTTGGTTAAGGATTGTATTCTAGGGTCTATAAATAGGGTCTCAATGTAATAATGTAGACACAACAACAATTCAATAATATTCTTTTCCTATATTTCTCACATGGTATCAGAGCCTCTACAAACTTGGTAGAGAATTAAAGAGCTTCCGCTGCCGGCGGGTGGCACCCATATATGCTGCCCGTCTGGCCAATGATTATGTTAGCAAAAGTTGGGTCACCGTGTATCTATCTGGTGACTATTTTCTCACATCTAATTTGTGTAGCACCATGCCATCATTCCGGTGACTACTTTCTTATATCTAATTTGTGTAGCACCGTGCCATCATTCCGGTGACTACTTTTTCATACTTAATTTTTGTAGCACCGTGTCATCATTTTGGTGTCTACTTTTTTGTGTAGCACTGTGCCATCATTCCAGTGACTACTTTTTCATATATAATTTGTGTAGCACCGTGACATCCTTCCGGTGACTACCTTTTTTTTGCATATCTAATTTGCGTAGCACCGTGCATCTCTCCGGACTACTTTTCATATTTAATTTGTGTAGTACCGTGGATTTTTCCGAACTATTTTCTCATATCTGAGTTGCATAGCATCATGTGTCTTTTCAGTGACTTCTCAGATTTGATTTGCATAGTTCCATTCGTCTTTCCGGTGACTCCTCAAATCTGATTTGCGTAGGGTTGTGCCATCATTCCAACCCTACCCATATTATTTCTCTTTTTCAATAGGGTTGTTCCATCAATTCGAACTATCCTATATTATTTTTATTTTCTAGTTGGGTTGTAACATCATTCTGACCCTACCCATATAATTTTATTTCTTAGATTGTGACTACTTTTAGCCATCAAATCTAATACTCCGGCATATGAGCATGTTCTGGCCAGTTTTTTCGGTGACTTGTTTAATATCGACTGTCTATTGATTCCAACATGAACCATGTACTTTATACTAGATTTTGAGCACTTACAATGTTCGCTGCATTGTGAAGAAGTCTATATGGAGCAACCACCTAATGTTGTTGCTCAGGGGGAGTTTAGTAGCCTTGTATGCTGATTACGTAAGTCACTCTATGGTCTGAAACAGTCTTTGCAAGCTTGGTTTGGGAAGTTCCAACATTGTAATTTTATCACTCTGTGTTTTATCGGCATTATGCATCAAATTCAGTATTTCATGAGAAGATCAAGCACATTGAAATTTATTGTCAATTTTGTGAAGTCGAGTGATCAACTCGCAGATGTCTTACCAAGCCCCTCATCGGTCCTCGTGTTAATTACATTTGTAACAAGCTAGGTACATGAATTGTATGCACTAGCTTGAGGGGGAGTGTTAGAATATGAATAGGTTTATACAATCCTATTAGAATAGAAATAGGTTTATACAATCCTATAAGAATAGGAATAGGTTTATACAATCCTATTAGAATAGGAATAGGAATAGAAATAGAAATAGGAATACTAAATAGTATCCTACTTGGTTAAGGATTGTATTCTAGGGTCTATAAATAGGGTTTCAATGTAATAATGTAGACACAACAACAATTCAATAATATTCTTTTCTTATATTTCTCACAGAAACATTACATAACATACAAAAAAGAACAGTAATAACAACGAACTAATGCGATAATCAAAGCACAAGAATCACAACGGTAACTAATCGAAATGCAAAAACATGGGTAGAAAATGAACTGATGCGTCGCGATCTGCGGTACCCCATGCGACGCGGCAAGAGGGATTTCTAGAGCCTTGTGCAAATAGACTTCTGCCATCAAAATACCTGTTGCGATGCGACTGGTGCATCACGGTAGGCTAGATTTTCAGCTTCTCTTTTTTTTCTTCAACTTTTCATATGCATACTTGGTCCTTCAACCCCAAACTTGAAGGCAGTTAGATTTTTTGGACTTATACTCAAACTTCGAAGCTCCTAAGAGTCTGATTTAGCTTTGAAATTGCTTCTTAGCTCAGAATCAAGTCCTACACAATAAAACTTAAAATACTAATAGTGTAGCTCAACACAATTTAAGTGTAACAATGAAGACATGACATGTAGCCAAAAGCCCTTTTTCTAGCCTACCATCAGGTCTAGATTGATGTTTGCATTCGAGTTGTTTGGGATATATTCTGCTTTAGTCTGACATAACTTCTATCAAATTTAATCTTTCCTATGTTCATCACTGCAGGTGGTACACTTCATAACGTTTTATGCACCTCTTTGGGGTGCCATTCTTTTTAACGGTGTCACCTATTTTCAAGTGATACGGATGCTAAACAATGCAACTCGTGTATGTGGTCATTACCTTTATCCTTAATTATTTACGCATTCCTTTATTGGTTCATGAAGATTTGGGTTCTGGAAAATAATTTGTGACATTTCAAGTACGCTGGTGCTTCTAATATTCCAGATGGCAGTGGGCATGTCAGAGAGGTCATACCAACCAGATCCGCGGTCAGACATGAAGGTATGCAGAGCTTCCTCTCCTATCTCAAAGTAAATCAGAATAATAACTTATAAGAGTATGGGGTAGAAAATGAATGGCTTCGGGTGGAGTTTGGACACCATCTCATTTTCTTTTCTTGCTATTTGCCTCTTTATATCAACTGTTATGCTGTTGGCCATCTCGCAGGCACTAAATCGTTGGGGTTACTATCCCCTTATTCTTATTGGATCATGGTTTTTCGGTACAATCAACCGTATACATGACGTTATTGAACCAGGTCATAAGATCTTTTGGCTTTCTGTTCTTGATGTTGGAATGGCACAGCTCATGGTAAATCCTATTATCTGTAGATGAATTCTCTCTTTTCTCTTCTCTTTGATGTGGTTGGGGAAGGTGTGTGGTGGGAACTTGCACTCTTTGATGAGTATTTTATTCCGTTATTACCATATAGATTGCAAGCAGGTATAGACCTGTTGGTAACTAGTGTTAACAATCAAAACCTGTCTGGATAGAATGACTTGGATCCTCTGTTTCCACCAAGCTTATCTACAGAATGTCAAGAGCGATGCCGCCAAGTGTTTACTTCAACTAGTTGGTGATATGCTGAACTGATTAATTTGTTTAACCAACAAAAAAGTTGATTAGTTTAGTTTAAGTGTCTGTATCCATGAATTGGTGGGATTCTCAGTTGATGGGAACTTATCTCTGACTTTATGTTGATGCTTAGTTTTGATCTACTCGCCTTTTAACAACTCTGACACTCTAAAAATATTGACAATGTTCTTTCTTGACAAATCTTCTATGCTTTGTTTAGGGTCTCTTCAACTCAATAGCATACGGCCTTAACAGCTCAGTCCGTAGAGCAATTTACGAGAGATTGGATCTGTAAGTCTCTATTAATTTTGACTCAAAATTTTTGCAACAGCAAGTGTTCTAACCCTATTTGCCCATAGCCCTAGAAAAGAGAGGGGGGGACATGTAACATATGTTTGGTTCCATCTTTTTCCTTTCTTTTCTTTATCTTGGGTAGTGCCAATGCCAGTGTGCTTGTTTGTTTCATCAGTAGTCATTTGGTTTCAAGAGATTGTATCTTTGTTAAAAACTTAAAATTGCTTGTCTTTGCTCCTAATGTCAAGGGGCCTTTGTTCAATATTTTAATAGAGTTGGTTAAGTTGTCCTTGTTGCATGATCATTACTCCATCCGTCCCAATTTATGTGATGCACTTTGACTGGGTAGGAGTTTAAGAAAGAGAGAAAAATGTAAAACTCACAAACAGAATGAATAGATCAACTGAACTACAGTGGAGATTCTACTATTCTCAATCTGAAATGGAGAAAGAAGAAGAGAGCAATCTGAGGGAGAACGATAGAATGGGAATCTCAAAACCTATTGCTGTAATCAAAGAACATATACAGAGAATTAGTAACCAACTAATCCAACTAATATCGAAAACTAACTAGCTGAGATGACATCTAATTGTAACTAACTGTGACTTATCCCAACTCTCAGCTAAGTAAGGTACAGTGAATTGAAAGCTGAATGTACAAATACATTAATTATGTAACTCTTAATAAAACATTTTTGAAACATGTCTAAAACAAGTCATTGATATCCGTGTGACTATAAGTCATGTTATTATATAATGAGAAGTTTAAATTGTTTCTATGCTTAAAAAAAGTACCATTCTTTTTGGGACAAACTAAAAAAGAAAGGGCATCACTAGGAAGCTATTTTCGAAAGAATAAATTATCCCTACTGTATGGCCTTTAATACATTTCTCTGAAGTGACGAAAATGCACAGTAGTTTCTAACTTCTTATTACTCAATCACCTTGGTGTTAAGTTTATGTTTCAATCTGTGTCATTTTCCAGGTTACCTGAATGGTCTCAAAGATGGCTTCCAAAGAGCTCAAAGTCAAGAGGCCAACAGCAAGACAGTGAATTAGTCTCTCTAAAGATTGAAGATCAGCAATAACAATTTTGTGCTTGTACATTCATCTCAATGATTCTGCCGCCTTTTCATAATTGGACCAGATTGACAATTGATAACTGCATTGTGACAGACAGGGATGCTCTTCATTGCTTCAGCCCGGGTTTTGTGCTCACATACTTTGATTGATCCTCCTCTGCACCATATGCTAATTGCTTGTTGCTCCTTTTTGATTGCTCGAGCGTACTAATGTACCAACTTTGTTATTGATACCGAAGGATGTTAGCGTGATCAATAGAATACATATGATCTGATATTGGCTGATGCTAAGCCTTCAAGTATAGGCAAGGCATAATATTTGCTTAGTGATGTATCGAAGGAGAGAACATTTGTTACTGATTTATTTGTTGTGTTGATTCGATTTACTACAGTTATTGGCTCTTGCTACTTATATTCACTCTCGCTGCATAGCCTTTCCTTTCCAGCTTGTTTGGATGTATAATATAATGTTTGTTTTGATTGTCACTTAAATTTTATTGTACGGCATTGCTAAATTCTTTATTATGTAATGACGAGAAGTCTCATTTTATTATGTATTGATTGATTTGGTGTATTCATGTCCTCACCTTATTTGAGTTTATTTTCGGATTCTTTTGGAATAAAGAAAGATTTGACTTTCTTCTGAGGGGGAACTAAGTCTATGCCCCATAAAAACAAATAAATTACAGACAAATATTCCTTTATAATTAATACCCCAAATTCTCATATTTCCCAGTTCTCCTTCTTCCCCAAATTTTCTTCCAACCCCCTAAAAACAAAATAATTACAGATAAATATCCCTTAACAATTAATACCCCAAATTCTCCTTCCCCAATTCTTCTTCTCAATTCTCCTTTACCAAATCTTCTTCTTCCTCAGTTTTCCTTCTTAGGATTCCACAACATTCTATTAATGGAGAAAATTGTGATTCTCTTATAGCATCATGGAAGTTGAAATTCAGAGCAATAGAACATTAATTTTGACGTTGAGATAATAATAGTAGAATCTATTTTTAATTAAGAAAATTTAGTCACACAAATCTCAAATCACATCAAAATTGTTGCTTATGAAAACATCGAGATCAAATATGCAATTGCATATGGATTTTCGCCATTGAAAATATCTAATCTAATAATAAAAGCGTGAAGGTCTAGTTTGAATTGAAGAAGAAGAAGCCTGAAATTACTTCATATCCATTGGTGATCGCCTACAACCATTATTTCACAAAAGCCAATCCTCAATATTTATGTGGAACTTCTAAATCCGCATTGATACCATAACAGTATATGACATATTGGTATGGTATCATTGAGGAACAACTAGACATTCATGAAAAATTGCACAAAAACTGAATAATATCATCATAGTGTATATCTACGGTGATGGTATCAAGAAGGATTTTCTAAGTCATTTAATGGTACATGAATGATACTATACAATATATTCATATATTATCATAATATTAAAATAGTATAAATAAGGAACAACTACTGTTTCACTAAGTCAATCATTAATCCTTAGTGAGAGACTTCTAAAATCCTCAATGATACCATAACAATATATTGCATAACATAAAATTGCACAAATACTGAATGATACAATCATAATATATATATATATATATATATATAAATCATAAAGGTTTTTCTAAGTCATTTTAAATGAATTATACTACCACAATATATTCATATAATATCATGATATTGAAATTGTATAATTGAGGAACAACCACTGTTTCACCAAGTCAATCTTCAATCCTTAATGAGACACTTACAACATCCTCAATGATACCATAACACACATTCATGAAAATTGCACAAATGTTGAATGATCCATTGTAGTATATATATATATATATATATATATATATATATATATATATATTGTGATGGTGTCATAAAGATTTTCCTAAATCATTCGATGGTATATGAATGATACTACCACTCTATATTCATATATTATCATGATATTGAAATTGTATAATTAAGGAACAACTAATGTTTAACCAAGTCAACCATCAATCCTTAATGAGACACTTCTAAAATCCTAAATAATACCATAACAAACATTCACAAAAATTACACAAATATTGAATAATACCATCCGAATATATATACCGTGATGGCATCACAAATGTTGAATGACACCATCATAGTATATATATATATATATATACTATGATGGTATCATAAAAGCGAACTGGGTCTGGGCTAGGAAGGGAGCACACATGATAATTACTTTGAGCCGAATGAACATTAAGGGTGGGCTATGAGCGGGTAATTTTTTTTTGTCCAATAAGTTTAGTTTTTCCTTCTTCTAACACATGAACAATAATAAAGCGAAAAGGGTTTTCGTGTAAAAAAGCGAAAAGCGTTGTATGGGCTAGTTTCAAATATATACAATAAAGTAATTAGTTTACAATAAATATAGCTATATTTTTATTTACATAAAAATAACCGAAACTCATAGAAAATATACACTGACTATACAATATAGTTTGTAAAAAATTATAGAAAGTATATATACAATTCAACTTACCTATACATGAGTTATACACTAACTATACATTATGATACATTCAAAAGTTAAATATAGCTTAACTAACATGAAGTATACACTGACTATACATGGAGTATACACTGACAAATTCAATCTTGATCAACTCAAAATCACCTCTAAATAGTCCTGAAATTTAGATATGAAATCCTCTCGATATTTGAGTCTTTTGATATGTAATTCGCTTGAAATGACTTACGTTTTCGGTACATCAATTTTTTTAAAAGAAGGATAATGAAGAAGAAGCAACAAACAACTATTAATGACGAAATTGAAAGGAAGAAAAAGAAGCAGAGCAGTCATTAACGACGAAACTGAAAGGAAGAAGACTAGTACTTGACAAATTTTGGTAATTTTGAAAATTTGGCCAATTTTTGTGTAAAGCAAAAGGCCAAGAGACCCTTTTACATAATTTGCCCAAAACTGATTGTAGACGTGAAAACATTCAAGTGGTGTAATTCCCCAAGGCCTGGTGAGGCAGTTGTGTCTACAAATACAACATTCACTTATTAAAAAATTCACCGCTCAATACAAATTTTGTTCTTCTCGTAAGAATTTATGTATGTTCATGAAAATTTGAAACAAATAGTATGTGTCATTTCATTTAAGTTAGGGAAAATGCCTGATTTTGACTCATTTGTATCCTCATTGTTACAATTTTAACTTGAAGCAGCCCTTAATCAATAATGGCGATTTCATGGAAGAATTAAACTCAGAAAATTGCTATTGATATTTACTTTCAAATAAGTTTTGGCCCTTTTATTTTCACAACATTCAAGCTCACAATGTATTCATATGTAATACATGCAAATATCATAGGCTTGTCCTTATTTTCTATTGCAACTATTTTTGAAAGACACCATTGAATCACATAAGAATTTTCTAAGATTGTAATGTAGGCTTTAGGATGGGTAAGATAGATTATTTTTTTTTGGAAATAATGACTATAACCTCCTGAAACACTACCTTTTTCTTTTCATTTCTTCTAAACTTTTTTAACCTTTATTCTTTAGTTAAGAGATCTAATATTTAGGGAAAATAGTTTGAAATATATCCGAACTTTGACCGAAATTGCTGTAACGATACCGAATTTTGAAAATGACCTTTTACCCCATGCACTATTTAATAGTGTATTATATAGGTATATATGTGCCCACGTGGATATCATAAATATTGAATCATTATAAATAGTAACGTGTCCACGTGGGCACATAGATACCTTTATAATACACTATTAAATAATGCAGGGGGGGTAAAAGGTCCTTTCCAAAGTTTGGTATCGTAACAACGATTTTGATCGAAATTCAGATATATTTCGAACCATTTTCCTTAATATTTATTTAATTATTGTACACTAGTTAATGTGTTTTTGTTGCAAAAATGTCAAGTAACATAACTTATTTGTATAAGCACAAAAAATTAAATTGCTATACTTTGTGCATGTGCTCTTTACTTTATTAATTACTTAGTAGAAGATAGTTAATAATTTATTATACTATATTAATTTTTATTTTGTAATAAAAGCTTAAATAGATATTTATTTCATTCTATTTGAAGATATGAATAATTCTCAAAATATGGTATCTAACTATGAAGACATTTGTTTGATTGATTCTGGTACAACACATACGATATGCAAACACGATAAATATTTTTCTTATTAAAGTATGGGCAAAATAATAGTTACTATGATTTGTGGTAGTACTAATTTCATTGAGGGCTTCGAAAAAGCCATTATAATTTTGCTTAAGGGAGATAAACACATCATAAATAATGTCATATTTTCTCCTAAGTTTCGGAGAAATTTGTTGAGTTTTAAATATAACCGTGAAAATGGTTATCACATCCAATCAATGGATGAAATGAGGCCCGAATATCTTGGTATCACCAAGAATGTCTTTGAGAAGACATGTGTGATATACAAGTTTCCTACTTTGTCTTATGGCTTGTATTGGACAAGAATTAGTGCAATTGAGGCACATTCTATAGTAAATCAAAAGTTTACTAATCTCAATACTCTCATACTTTGGCATGATCGTTTGGGACATCCTGGTCTATAATAATGAGACAAATTATAGAAAAATTAAAATGAACATTCATTAAAGAACCAAAAGATTCTTTTAGATGGTGAATTTTCTTGTACTGCTTATTATCAAGGCAAGTTAATTGTGAGACCATCATTAGTGAAAGTTGAGCTTAAGTCCCTTGCGTTCTCAAAACATATAAATGGGATATTTGTGGACCTATTCACCCACCTAGTAGGTCTTTTAGATACTTTATGATTGTAAAAAATGCTTCTTCTAAATGGTCTCAAGTGTGCCTATTGTCATCTTGTAACTTGGCACTTACAAAATTATTGGCATAAATAATACGATTATGGGAACAGTTTCCTGATAATTAGATTAATTCTCAAATACAGTAGAGTATTTATCTCAAGCATTTAATAATTATTTCCTACCGATTGAAATAAGAGTTGAACATATTGTAACTCATGTTCACACTCAAAATGATCTTGGTGAATCATTAATTAAACGTCTGCAGTTGATAGCAAGACCGTTGCTTATGAAAACTAAGTTTCCTACTTCTATGTGGGATCATGCAATTTTACATGCTGCAACACTTATTCGTCTCAGACAGAAAAATTGTCATAAGATTTCTCCATTGGAATTGATTTTGGATCAAGAACCTAATATATCCTATCTAATTTTTTAAAAATGTGTTGTACACGTGCATGTGGCACCACCGCACCATACTAAGATGAGACCTCAAAGAATGTTAGCAATATATGTTGTGTTTGTATCAACCTCTATTATTTGATACCTTAAACAATTAACTAGAGATATGCTCCTTGCTCGATTTGCAAATTTTCAGTTTGATAAGTTATTTTTCCTAAAATTAGGGAGAGAAAATGATATTAGAAGATAAATT